CTGATGGTCCTTCTTGAGCATGTGATCAGCTGGTTTTGGTTGTCAACAGCAAAACTGGTTGATCCACTCTGAGACGGTGCTATTTAAGAGACTGAGCTGAAAACAGCACCTCAGACTGAGGAAGTCTCTCGGATGAGAGACGAAACGTTTCTACATTTTTTTTGTTGATTTGCTTTTTTTTTTTTTTTTTTTGAATGTCCAGAGGACCAGATTGAACTTTTTTAGATTTACTTACTTACTTGTGAATAAATAAAATGTTTTAGCCTTGAACTTAAAAATCTTTTAAATAAAGAATGGTCTAATCTTGATAATTTAGGCCGGCGGGTTGCTCATCTACGAAACATTAGTTGAACACAAACAACACACTTAACGTGTTAACGGACTGAAAGCGTTCAAGCACTTTCGGATGCTCATTTGTTGGTTTGTTTGGTTTTAATTTAATCATCAACTTCTAAACGTGCAGCACTAACGTCAGCCTCCGAGAGCACTTCATGATGTCTGCATGGGACATGAAGTGGAACACCTGTCCCTGGTTTTGGCTTAATAACTTTGGTCTCTGTGAGTGAGCTTTGAACAAGTCTGTGTTAAAGTTTAGCTCCTTCACGGACACATAAAACAAGATTTTATTGGTTTTCTTGTCTCTTTTTAGCAGCAGGCAGGCCCACTGACTGAATAAACCTAAAGGCATACCAACAACGTTATAAAAAACTCCCAGCTGAATGGTGAGTGTGTGGGGGAGGGGGCGGCAGCTGTCCTTTGTGCCTGTGTTCAGCTCCGGGTATCCCTGGAATTTATCTGTCTTTTTAAAGCATCGATGGAGAAAGAAGTTTCCACAAGTCACTCTAGTGACAAACTCTGCAGGAGCCCCGCGGGGTCAAAGGGGACCCTGTTCTGGAAGGATCCGTGTGACATCAAGCCTCGTGTCTTTTGTGCCACGGGCCTCGCCTTAAATCTAAATCGAGCTCGTAGGCAGCCGAGGGAGCGATTCTCCAAGAATCTGGAACAGGTGCCTGAGGTTGAGGACTGCCAAAGTCCCACTTTCCAAAAGTCGGTGCTCGTTTATATCGAGACTCGAGACTAAAGCTGGGGTCGTGTTTTACTGTTGGGGCTATTTTCACTGAAGGAGCCACAGAAGAATGAAGATCCTGATGAAATCTTTATGTTGTCACAGGTTTGATTCATACAAACTGCGTTTTGAGTTTGTGGTTCGTGTGGACGGCTGAGGTTAAAACAAAAAGTGTTAAAAAAATTCTGAGCAGACTGTCGGGGGAGGCAGCTGTCCTCTGTCCTTCAGCTCCTGGTATCACTGGAATGTCTTACTTTAATTATTTTGTATTTAGTTAATAAAATTTGCATTTTATTTTACTGACGTGCGTCGACTACTTTTAACACGTTTTCATTTAATGTGCTTTTTTTCTAGCTTTATTTCCTGAGGGTTTCACCGATATGTATAAAAATAAAACATTATTTCACTAAAGTTTCAGGAAACAAACTAACAACCAAGTGCTTTTTAACATACAATTAAAGTTTACTTCTTACTTAAAGCATTAAGCTTGTAATAATTCCTAATTACATAAGAATATCATGATTTTTCACAAGTAATATATTTACCCTGCCTCTCGCACGGTGTCTGCTGGAAATGGGCACCAGTGACCCCCCATGACCCGGAAATATAGAAGCAGGTAAAGATAATGGATGGATGAATAATTTGTTTAATTCCTTTAGGATTGCTTTTTGTTGCAGCATGTTGTAAAAATGATTTTGTTAGTATTTGATTAAAGCAACCATCGAAGGAAATATTTGGTTTGGACACTGGACTTCTTTTTAGCCAAACAACTCCACTTTAGATCCTTTAAACGATTTGAGTTTCATATAAATCACCACATGAACGCTGCTACTTATTAAGCTTAGCCATTTTCTGTCTTAATAACATGACAAGTTTTGCTTTTATTTAAAATCCCAACTATACGTAATATAAGGTTCCAAACGGTATAATGAATCTGCTCTTTCTCAGAAATCAGAACATATTCTCCAGGTTTTGATTTGATCAATATTAATTTAACATTTATAAATTCACATCTATTTCTTCTTTTACTTGTTCATTTATTTTTACAGTTTGTAAAGTCAAATAATGCACACAGTCTCTGCAACAGACTGCAAAAACAAACAGTATGATTAAAAAAAAAACAGTTTTGTTTTATTCTGTCAGAAACAAAGATGTTTATGGGTTTATTCATCAAGTTTCAAAGTATAACTTTTAAATTTCATCGACAAGACTAAAATCTTTCTTGTTGTATGTGACTGAGTTTCTTTGAAGAAATGTATTTAGACTTCAGACTTCTTTATTTCTCCACATTGCTCCATTATTCTATATGATTAAACACCAAATTATAGTTTTACAACCTCCTATGAACAGCTTTGGCCTCAGTGTTGATGCTGCAGTGATGAAGAAAGGTTTTCCTACTTAAAAATGATGTTTCCTCTTAATATAAAATGATTTATATGAAGTTTTTTTTTTATTTTCTTTGTTTTATCCACTAAATTCAACCTAATCCAGATCTCAGCTGGTGTGTCTAAACAAGTTCTACACAAAAACAACAGTTTTTGATTTAAACCTGAGCTTTTGGTTGGGATGTAAACAAAAACAGCATTCTGGTGAACTTTGACCCCCCAGTTACCACAGTCTACAAACACAAACCACCAGTAAGCAGCTGGTCTCCTTAAAGCCCCACAGACCGGGTTCAGGGTGATTCTCACTTCTCTGTCCAACATCTCACCTGACACCTCCACGAACCCGTCCCTGGTCTTGACGTGAAGCTCCTCTGGTTGGAAGCTGTGCACGTTCACGCACACTTTCCAGGGCTCTCCGCCTGTGCTCGCCGGGGGGCTCCGTGAGGGAGGCTCACCATACCTGCTGGTGTACAGGACTGGGCCCCCAGTGGAATGACGCGCGGGGAAACCTGTGCGTAAAGCGCCGGCAAAGGGCGACGTGCCGAGGCGCGTGCTGAGCCGACCCGGCCGGGCCCACCCAGGCCAGTCTAACTCCAGATCTTCCGGGAAGTGGGGCATCCCAAAGTCATCGTCCATAAACCGAGCTGGCAGCTGATCCCGGAACGGAGACTGATCCCGGAACGGAGATTCTCTGAATGGATCTCTGGGAAACCGCTGCCGGTTTCCTGTCGTGTAAAAGTCTCCTTCTGCCATCTCCAGCTGGGTTCAGAGCCAGAAGAAAAGTTCTGCAGACAAAAAGCAAGTTGAATCCTGCGGAGGAAGCTTCTATGGATAACTTGGCACCTGTAGGTCTACTTGTGGTAAGTTTAGCGCATGGCCGTTACGCAAACACCTGCTGACCTGGAAGCTCCAACTGCGAGTCTGGAAAGTCTAAAGCCAACTGGTTTTCTCTGGTTTTGGTTTTATACTTGGATCAGACCTCCTAGCTGGGTGAGGGGGGGGCGGGGGTCTGTCCGGGACCAGAAAGTGCTGGCAGGACGTGGACCGCAGCCACGCTGCAAAAAATATCCACTCTAAGGGTAAAACTGCAGATTGAAACCTTAATTTTTATAAAAAAGTAAAGATATATAATACACCCAGGGACACTCCTGAACTTTTTATTTGAAATAAATTATCTACATCACTTTAAACAAAGTTTAAATACTTGCCAACCAGGGTATTTTTTACAGTGGAGGCGCAACAGCTGACGGAGGACCTGCCTACTTTTTACCAAGTTGCATAGAGAAGCCCCCTCACCCCCTCCTGCTTGATGAGTCACACTATTTTTAATAGAAAATAACGCAGAGCTGCAGGTTAAAGTCTGACGTCACAACACGAATAAAGCAAAGATGCTGAGTCAGCTCTGTGCTGACTCTGTCCGGGTCTGTCTGACCAGCAAACATCACTTCATACATGAACTCATCTAAAACTGGCCACAGTCTGGTTGATGGTTTGAAAACTTTTCAAATAGTTGCAGTCGTTGCCTACACACTAAAAACTGCTGGGTTAAAAACAACCCAGTTTGTAACCCAGTGCTGGGTCAAATTTAGACCAAGGCAATGCTGGGTTGTTTTAACTCAACAGGGTTGGGTTGATGGTTTGACCCAGCATACTGGGTTAGGGCAAATATCCAAAGATTGGGTTAAATTGACCATTGTTCAAAGTTAAAGTTACTCAAAAGTGAGTTGAAACTTATAATTACAAGGGTTATTTTACCACCATATTTTTTTAAAGAAAAGTTTTTACTTTAAAATTCACCATATAACAGGATTAAAAACAATCAGACTACTTCAAAGTACTTTTATTTTATGATATATGGCAACAGAATTCATATATGAAAGTTTCAAAGCAGACAAGTAAAAGTAGAAAAAGTATATTAATTAAAACAGCTCCCTTCAATTCATTCTTTGATTACAGCTCCAAAAAGACACATGACAAAATCATTTCATGTAAACAGTTTGACAGCAAACACATAAAAAAAAATAAAAAATCATCCATTTAACAAGTAACTATATCAATACTTTAGTAAAATGTTAACTTGAAAAACTGTCAATGATTCTTTATGAGCAACATTCACCCTTCCAATGCATATTAATTTCATTAGATCTGATTCACGGCCTGAGATTCCACAGATGATAGTTTGAAGAAAATCCCAAACCTTGGGCACACGACTTGGGTCGTTTACATCAAAAACACAAAAAGCTTTAAAACAGCCGTCAACAGCACCCATAAGAGATGGATGCTCCAAAGCTAGTTCCATTTTTTGGGAACAATGCCTGTCCCCAAGCATGCATGCGTACATACAGATACTCTGTTGCTGCATTTTCAAGATATTCCACCATGTGTGTCCCAACCTGGTGGAGCAAGCCATTGGAGAGTCAAAGTTTCTTTATTTTATTTATATTTAAAAATACATGCATGCTTTTTATTTTTTCATTTTATTTTTTCATTTCATTTATTTAATTCTATAGTGCTTTACACAACCACGGTGATGGCGACCAAAGTGCTTAATAAAAACAGTAACTAACATGACAACAAGTTAAAAGCAAGAAAAAACACAATAAAATAACAAAAAGAGAACCAGAAGTGTCAACACATATTTAAGTACTAAAAGCCTGTTGGAATAAAAAAGTCTTAAACTTCGATTTAAAAGGGCCAAGTTCAATAATCTGACGTAGATCAAGCAGGAGCTTATTCCAGAGTCAAGGTGCAGCCGCAGAGAAGGCGCTGTCACCCCAGCGTTTATATTTTGTCCTTGGAACAGAGAGCAGGAGCTGTCTGACCTCAGAGACCTGGAGCGGGCGGGGAAACTTAACAACTCTGTTATATAAGGAGGAGCGAGGCCATTCAGATCTTTAAAAACAAATAAAAGTTTAAAATCTATTCTAAAATGGACAGGAAGCCAATGTAGTGAGTGTAAAACAGGTGTGATGTGGTCCCGTCTAGGAGTGTTGGTTAAAAGGCGAGCTGCTGCATTTTGAACAAGTTGGAGGCGGCTCGGTGATGACTGAGGTACACCGACATACAGAGCGTTGCAATAATCGAGTCTAGAACTGATAGAAGCATGAACAGCCTTCTCCAAGTCGCAACGGTTTAAAAAGGGTTTGACCTTTTTTTAAAAAGGTGTAAATAAAAAAATCCAGACCGGACAACAGAGGCGATATGTTTGTAACCCCTTATCAAAGGTCACTCCAAGGTTTTTCACACAGTCACTGAAGTTAATATTCAAAATTTCCAGGCCAGTTGCATCTTTGTCACCAAATAAAATCCATTCTGTTTTATTATCATTTAAAAACAGGAAGTTTTTGTTTAGCCAATGTTTGATTGCAGAGATGCAGTCAAAGAGAGAAAGCATTGGGTTACTGGATCCTGGCCTTAATGGTAAATAGATTTGCAAATCATCTGCATAAAAACGAAAGTTGACATTGTGCTGTTTTATAATAGATCCAAGTGGCAACATGTACAAGGAGAAGAGCAGAGGGCCCAAAATGGAACCCTGGGGCACCCCACTCAGAAGAGGGTCTGTAGAGGAAGAGGAGACATTGAGCAAGATAGTGAAGGTTCTGTCAGATAATTAAGACGTGAGCCACTTCAGAGCCGTGTCACGAATCCCAACAAAAACATGGAGGCGAGACAGAAGGACAGAGTGGTTCACAGGGTCAAAGGTCGCTGTAAGGTCGAGAAGCACCAGAGCTACTGGGCACCCAGCATCAACTGGCTGAGCTATGTCATTATGAACTCTCAGTAATGCAGATTCTGTGCTATGCCGGGATCTAAAACCCGATTGAATTTTATCCAGGATTGTGCTTTTTTACAAAAAAGGCTGAATTTGCGCAATAATTTTTTTTCTAAAACTGACTGACGTGAAATCAGAATAAACTTTTCCTGTTTTAGGTCACTTTAGGATTACAGTTTTTTTTTTTGTATTTGCTAAATGCCAGAAAAATGAGATTGAGATTTTTTTTAAGGAAATATTTATTACTTTCTTCAAAATCAAAAGTTTAAATACACTAAGATTATGTATTTAAACAATTTGGGATATTTAATGTCATGTCTTTGGAAGATAGGTTTATCGATAACATCTGAGTTAATTAGTTACACCGGTTCTGTCATGGCAGCACGGTGGCGCAACTGGTAGAGCTGCTGCCTCTCAGCGAGAAGGTTGGCGTTTCAAATCCCGGACCGGGGCCTTTCTGGGTGGAGTTTGCATGTTCTCTCCGTCCATGCACAAGTTTTCTTCTGGTACTCCTGTTTCCTCCCACAGACCATAAACATGCATGTTAGGCTGACTGGTAACTCTGAATTGTCCCTAGGTGTGAGTGAGAGAGTGAATGGTTGTCTCATTTGTCTCTATGTGGCCCTGTGATGGACTGGAGACCCGTCCAGGGTGTACCCCGCCTCTCGCACAGTGATTGCTGGACATGGGCATCGGCGAACCCCGTGACCCAAAATGGAAGAAGCAGGTAAAAGATATTGGATGGATGGTTTGGATGGAGGCTGCACAGAAGTCTTTTGGAGTCAGTCTCCCCACCATCACAGACATCTACACCTCTAGATGCAGGAAGAGGGCCACCTGCATCATGAAGGACCCCACTCACCCAGCACACACACATTTTGCCCCGCTCCCCTCAGGAAGGAGGTTAAGGAGCTTTAAATGTAGAACGACTAGACTGAGGAACAGCTTCTACCCAGAGACTGTTAGACTCATAAATATCTAACCAGGATAATCACTGTAGAAAAAAGTAATGTAGCTGCTGATCTGGTTCTTGTTGATGTGTTCATTCGTGCTCCTCTGCTCACACAGACTCATGTTCATGCTGCTGTTCAGCATAATATTTTTATGCTACTAGTGCTTAGTGTATATTTAGTTTATACCATACCATACAATTTTATTTATAGAGCACTTAAAACAGCGACAAGGCCAACCAAAGTGCTGCACAGACAGAACAACAGGTAACACACACAGCAAAATACAAAATGAAGTAAATCAGAATATAGACATAAAAACGATGCAGGTAATAAATATGACAACTAACCTGTGTGAAGCAAACAGGTTCAAAACACAGATCATTTGTTGTTGAACGCAACTGAATAGTAGTGGGTTTTTAAACGGGATTTGAAAACCAAGAGGGAGGGGCCAGTCTGACAAGCAGAGGTAACTCGTTCCAAAGTCTTGGTCCTGCTACAGAGAAGGCCCTGTCACCTCTGCGCTTAAGACGAGTTCCTGGAACTGTGAGGAGCAACTGGTCCACTGATTTCAGGGAACGTGGTGGGACATACGGCTGTAGCAAATCAGAGAGATGGTGGGGGGGACTGTTCAGCGATTTGTAGACATACAGGAGTATTTTGAACTGGATTCAAAGGTGAACCGGTAGCCTGTGCAATGAGGCCAAAACTGGTGTAATGTGCTCTCTTTTGCCTGTACTGGTTAACGGGCTGCTGCATTCTGGACCAGTTTTAGTCGTGCAATGAAGGTTTGACTGATTCCAAACAGGAGTGAATTGCACTATAGAAGTTTATGTTTTTCTTAGTTCATATCTTATATCTTATTACTGTTTTTCTTTTACATTTTATTGTTGGATGTAACTGGGACCCTGTGTACATAATTTCATTCCACTACATGTACCACATGGGATGCGAATGACAAATAAAGAACCTTAAATCCTTGAATCCTTGAATGGTTTATGAAGAGGGAAACGGTCTCATAAAGCTTATTTTTAAGCCCAACAAATTGGGTAAACTTTTGACCCAGTATTTGATCAAAGCTACTGCTAGATATGTCCTCAAGTTGAACGTGGTACAGCCTTGCCCGCCTAGAAGACTGACCTTGGTTCTGTCTCTGGCTGGACACGACTGGTTCAAGGATGAGATGTCCCAGATCCAATCCTTAACA